GCGGCGGAGAGGGGCCTGGCCTTGTTCACCCAGCATCACGCACACGCAGGAGGGCGGCACCGAGCCGCAGCTCGAACTGAGGTTTTTGCGATAAAAAGCCCGGTGTAGATGGGGCCATTTGTCAGGGGAAAAACCCCGCTTTGCACACGAGCCCTTATTCCTCAAGAAATGAGGTTTCCAGGCTCTTGTGCAAAACGGGGTTTTTCCACCAACAGGCCCCAGAGGCTCGGAAGAGAATATGCAAATGTGTGAGATTTGCATTTCCTCGTCCGAAAAACTGCCACAGTGTAGCTGTAGCCTGATAGATGTTTGGAAAAATGACAAAGGCCATTAACAAAGTATTAACCGTTCAAAAGTTGGCATCTGCCCATGTGCCAACCAAATGGAGGCTGGTGTATATGCCTGGCCCCAGTCTCCTTTGCCCCTTTTTTCCGCCTGACTTTACGGTGGAGGAGTCACGGGGGAGAAACCGCTACGTTGTTTTCTTGGCTGTAGCCGTACCACGGTACTAGCATCCATCTCTTTTCCTCGTCGTGCAGTGATTTAACACGAAGATGGTTTGGACTGTTTGGGTTTTTTATTAGTATTATTATTACTACCGGTCTTGTTCCTGGCTGTTCTATTAGACCTCTGTGGTGTTTTGCTACTGTAGATAGAAAGTGGGAGGGGGCTGTGGCAAAACCATAAGGACTTTCAGTATTACGTAAAAAAGGGTTTAAAAAAATAATTGTAACACTGTAAAAATCCAGATGCAGATTTAACCGGCTATTAAAAGGAGCTGTTAGGAAGCTGCGGCTTTGGTAAATGGGAATGTTTGTTTAGCGTTTTGGTCCCCTCGAGGTCACTTTTGGCACTAGAGTAACTGTTCAGACTGCAGCTTCCCTGCCTTGGCACGCCAAGCCTGCCCTCCCGCCAGTTGCCACGAGCCCATCGTGAGCCAGATTAAGCACCTTCCTAACCACTCCCACGGGACCAGCCGTTCCCCTGGAGGCAAAGTGCCTGCAGCGCACGCAGAGTGCGCTGGGTCCCCCTTTGCCCTGCAGCAACTGAACGCGAGGGCGTTTCTGGCATTGTGAAAAAGGAGCGGTGGGGGGGGGGGGGTAATGAATTGGTTACTAGCCGTTCCAATAGTGCCCATAGATACCATGGCCGGGCCTGGGACCGGAGCCTCGCCCGTCCTCTGTCCCAGCCCCTCCTCTCCATCTCAGAGCCTGCACCCCCAACCGGAGCTGGAAAAAACCTGGCTTGAGACGTGCTACAAGGCCATGCGCACAGTGCGGCGCGCTCTGCAAGGCCCAGGCGGACAGCAGGCACTGCCCCTCCCGAAAGAGGTTCCAGGCTCCATGGAGCAGCAAGCTGCATTTTGCCACCCACCCAATCTCCTCTCTACACTGTTGTCTCTAATATTGCCACATCCCTTTGGTCCCCAGTCTGTCGGGATCAGATCTCTCCCCCGCAAGGCTGTGACTACCGATGGGCTGCACAAAGCAGTAATGAAAGAGAGTCACCACTCCAGCTCATGGGCCTTTCACCCTGCCCTGCTGGAAAAATCCTTCCTAGGGTGGAGCAAGCGGAGTGCTCATCCCTCCTGCTCCACTCCCTGACCCATGGCTCGCACCTCCCTTTGGTAAGGCTGGGGCAGAACCACACTCCAGGCCTTGAACCCTTCCCCACGCTTTGGGAACGGTTTGGCGCAGGGCCAGCTGTACTATTTAGAAAGCAGTTTTGGCTGGGATTACAGTTTGCTCATCCTGGGGCAAAGGGGCCAGAGGAAGGTTATGCTGAGTGTGCTTTTAAATAGTAAATCCTAATTAAGAAAAGAATCCCAGAGGGACACAGGCCCAGTCCGTATGCTGCCTTTTGCTACTAAGGTGCGCTACCGCAGCCAGTTTTGTTCTGATCTCATACCGGTTTGTGACGTCAGTGGCCTTACTCCTGATTTACACCAGTGCATGTGAAAGGCCCTGGCTCTGTGTGGGCGACGAGGGTGCCCAAATCACTTGTGGATACTGCCTTACAAGCAAGGCGAGGTGAGGGACGGACAGACAGCAACCACGCACCGTGATCTTCTGAGAAGTCTCTTTGGCCTCTATACTCAGCCAGACTACACCCCTGGAAACAGGAGCGAGTGGCACCCTGGATCTTGGTCCAGATTTTAGGGCTTGCACCCAGCTCGTCTCCATGGTAAACCCACCAGCACCGGTCACAGCACATATCTGGGAGCCACCACGTGGACTATAGACAGACACGTGTGTCCCTGCAGCATCATGCTGGGCGCCACCAATTGCATGCAACGAGGAGGAAGAGGCAGAGGAGGGGAGATTATTTATTTCCATAGATTTTTATAAAAAATAATTATCAAATACAAAAAAAATAGCAGCAGTCTCAGTTGTGAATGAAACCCTCAGGCAACCAAACGCTCAGTGTTGCTACAGAAGAATGAGTCTTGTGACAGAAAAGCTATTGATTCATGGATGCAAACTCTCTCCCGGAATTCCCAGCCCGGCTTGCCTACCCCTCAGCATCCCCTCCCCTGTCCTTTCTGCCTACCGTATAACACGCTCGTGGCTGCCCACGGCAGGCATGTGCTAAACACGCCCATTAGGGACACAACCCCGAGCAAAGCTTTTCACAATTCCTCCCCTGCATCAGCCTGCAGCGCCTACTGCCGTCAGGCTGGGAAGGACAGAGGTGGTAGGAGGCAGCTGTTTGACATTCTCTCTTCTCCCCACTAAGTGGCACCCTTACTCCACACATCCTCAACCCGAGCAGCAGTTCTGCAGCACCCCCACCGGCGCACAGGGCCACTCCTGCTCTGTGAGCGGCTACAGCTCTGCTTGGCCAGCACTGGGCGTGGAAGGCTACTGACCTCGGGAGAGTTCAGGTAACCAAGGCTTCTCCGGCTCGCAGCACAGCTGGTTCCCGAGCGAGTCTAGCTCAGTGCCACGGCCCAAGGAGGTTACGACAGGCGTCCCTTTCTCTGGGTGGTCACCCAAACCCTGAGGCTCAACTTCATCCCTCATCACTTTCATCCCTCACTG